ATTTCTTCTCACTTCTTTGGTAGATGAAAGAAAAAAGTCTTAGAAAATCTAGGGCCACAAGGTTCCACACAGAAATGTTACAGTCGGCCCTCTGTCATCTGTGGGCTTCGCATCAGTGTATACAGGGGGGCTGACTGTACTCAGCCATTTTATACAAGGGACTGGGCATCCCTGGATCTTGGTTTCCACAGTGAATCTTGAAACCAATCCGCCCTTGGTCACAGAGGGACAACTTTACTGTCCTTACAGTGAATCAAAGGCATCACAAAAGGACCACACTAGAGACAGTACCTGATTTGGACAGGATAGAAAGCATCTCCTCTGCGTGGTAGATTACAGTGGTTAAGAGCCGGCGCTCTTATGACCAGACCATCGGGATCCAGAGCCTGTGCTATTACCTAAAGTTGTGTAAACCTGAGCATACCTAACTTCCCTAAACCTGTCTGCGTGTCCCCTACTAAGGATATAAGAACAGTACCTTTATCACAGGATCCAGGGGAGGATTATGACTTGACACAAAACTAACACCTGGCACACTGGGATAAGCATTTTGAAGACCATTTCATGCTTTGAGAAACACACAATGGGTGAAATAAATTGCTTAGGTGGGCAATCACTTCAGGTGTCTGCTAGCAAAGTGGTAATTAAAGCTCAACCCCACATTTCTGAAGTCATTTATTTTTGCACAGACAGCTCAAAACCTATTTGCAAGCAAAAACCCTTTACTGGTGTTCTAGCAACGCTAACTTCAAAGACAGCTCTTGCAATAAGCAACCCCTCAAGCTGATTCCTGCAACTTAATGTTTTAAAAAGATTAACGTATAAAGAACTCTGAAAATGCCAGGTTCCCTATATTACAGGACTTAAGTCTTACTTGAACCTACTTGGTATCTTGTCTCTTGGCATTTAAAAGCCTCTAAAGCAGTTGTCTTGGCTGCAGATTAAAATGACTGGAGCTTAAAAACAAATGACGGAGCCGGGTCTCCACCCCTGACCAATCTTCAGGCAGTATATCTGCAGGTACCATCCAAAAGTCAGGATACTTTCTGGAGCGCATCACACGCGTTAACACACGCTGTAGCTGCATACCACCACTAAAATCTAGCATAATGAATAGTTATCTTAGTAGTTCCCTGCACCTTTTTTCAAGGTGGGTGTTACAGGAACAACTGGACAACAAGAAATGCAGTTTTAAAACAAGAGAAATGTGGTAATAGGAGTGTATGCATAATCAGAAAGGGAATTACCTGGCCAATAGAGCTTTACATTGTAAATAAAATGTTCATAACCTTATAGTCACAAACATGATCATAAAAATATTTTAGGATCATAAAAAGTACTTTTGCAGTCACTTATACTTGGTTTTCAATAAACCAGAGAAAGTAGATTAAAATTTTTAAAAAAGATACAAGGTTGTATGTAATTTATGATTATGCTTAAAGAACACCAGTATTATAAGGAAATAAATGTTCATAAAAACCGATGGCAGTTTAGCATTTATTTTTTATATTTTCTGAATTCCCTAAGATGCACACATCATTATTTCTACAAGCAGAAATGTAGGAAGCTAGAACTTTCTTTCCCTTCAAGGATGATGTTCAAACTTCTCTGCACCAGTTCCTGCAGGCTGGGCATTCCCAAGAGGCCACTGTTCCTGCACAGAACTCTCCAGAAGCACGGCTTCTACCAAGGTGGGCTCTCAAGTGTGGAACTGAAGAAGCAGGGGTCCCCATGTTCTACCAAAGAGCCCTTAACTTCCAGGTCACTAAGAAAAGACTACCTGCCAGCGGGACCCGGGTCCCAGTGACTGGCTGTTACTACCTGATAGAACATAAATACACACACCACCATCGTCTGTTGAAATCAAATTCCTTTTTGTTGCTTTTCAGAAAGGAAAATGACACTCCACCACATTTTTAAACAGTTTATTCACACAATAGTTTATTTTCCTTTGAAAGCTAGAATATGAAGATCATTTATTTACCTTATTTTGTTGTTTTTCCATATGGTAAAACTGGGCTTTCCCTAATTCTCATAAAGGTGAATTTTTAAAAATCTACGCACATACCAAAATCACTGAAAGGAATGTGCAAAGCTCTGGGAAAACTAGTACTTGAATGTTTTCAAACTGGCAGAAGATTAAAATTGGGGGACATACCCTATAAGGAACTGTATTTTTTATCTTATTGATAAAGGCTGTTTTCAAAGTGGCATATTCTGAACTAAGATAACTGAAGGAGAAATTAAGAATAGTATTTTTCTCTGACGAGAACTTCCGAATTTGATACATATTTTTTTCCAAGTGTCATTTCTTCTCTTTTTTTAAGGTAACATACTGCACACTCAGAATACAATTCTTAAATTTGTCTCTTGTAAATACAAGAATGGGCAAAATTAAGGTACATTTAGTTATAGAAAGAATGAAGGAAGGTAGTGCATTTAGCGTCAGATAAGAACTTAAAGGCCTTAGTTACTTGGTTGTGGCTTCAGGGATGGCAACAGTGTATTTCCCTCATGCTGACATTCACAAGCAAGCAGGCAGACAAAGCAAAACTTTCTGAACATGTAAAGGTAAGGAATGAAGACGAACAGTTTAATCTATATATTACCAGTCAATTAATACAGCTGGACTCCGTCGGTAGTAAAATAATTTGATCACATTTCGTACAGCAGTTGAGTCTCCTGAACAGTCAGAGCATGTCCTGCTACGTAAAGCAGTAAAGAAGCCCATGTGGACTTTATTTTGCAGACAACACCCAGACTACATTCTAGCTCAAGACCAACTACTGCATTATGCATCTTGTGAAATGCCTACCTAAAAATGCATTTATTTATTTCCAATTGGGAGGGGGGATTTCTAGCCTAAACACTAAAACCAGACATGTGCATGAGACTATTCCACAGCTGCCTGTGGTACAGTCTTATGACAGGAAATCTCACACTCTGAGCATCTTACGTCCACTATTCAGTTGTATCGAGTTGGGGTACATTTTTTCCTACAAAGTTACCAGAAACAGACACTGAGCTAGAGTCAGGAGGACAGGTTTCAGGTCCAGCACTGCCTCTGCCCTTGTGAGACATGAGGAAAGTTCTCTGAGCTCTCGTGAAGGCCTCAAATCCCTCAACTATAAAACAAAGAGGGTGAATAAAACGAACTCTAAGGAGCATTCCAATGAAACAGACTTCTACGAAATTTTTGAGAACTTAAATTGTTTAAAAACCGAGAGCTATGAAATCTCAAGCCTGATGCTCATCACCGCTAATGCTGATTATAGAAAGAGACTGAAGCTGAGGAATTAGTGACTCTGCACGGACGGGACGGAAATGCAAGGCTTGTTGGCATGCTTTCCCAGGTACCAGAGTGGGAAGGAGCTCTTACAATGACTGCGCCAGGCGGCACCTGCAGCACGTGCGGGGAAGACGTGCCCTTGTTCTTACTCTTGCACTCAAGCAAGAGGTTTTCTAGAAGATAACACACAGCGCAACACCACAGTACACGGGCTCTGACGAGTTCAAAACATACTGGAAATGAAAATGCAACCAAAATACTTCAGAGCATCTCACTCCATTATAAAAGGTACACACAGACCTGGGGCCAACCCACTTCACTGCACCACGTCAAGTCCCAGAGTCCAATTCCCCTTTCAAACATAAGTGCATCTTTCACAAAACGAACACCTATTTTCAAAAATCAAAATTCGCTTGTATTAGACTGTACTTAGTAGAAAAAGTGAATCTATTTTTTCTGGTTCCAAAATTTTCTATGCCAACACAGATTAACTAAATGAGACGTAAGACTAAGTACAGGAAAGTACGCCAGACCGTCACGCATTTATAGTGCAAACGTATTTCACGTGGTTGACGGAGAGATCTGCAAAGGATAAGGTCATTTTTCACAAAGGAATTCCCAAGGTTTACTCAGTAATACCAAATTTCCGTAATGGAAATTACTGTGCGTGTCAAACTGGATGGGAAAAAAACCTACTTTTAACTATTATTATGAAATGTTATAAAATAAAAGGAATTCTTAGGCTAGAATCAAGGAGAATCAGTCTTTCTTGAGAAGACACTAAAAGAACCTATTAAGAATAGGATAAATTAAACACAATAGAGCCACAGCGCAGACATGTAAACTGACTGAAATTACAGCACTTCTATACTCATGGTATTTTGCTTGTTTTATATCATCTTGAGGACAAATGGATTATGATCTTCCAAAATTCCAAAAATGGCCCGAAATTTTATCAATTCCTTTCCTTAAAAGAATGAGGACTTTGAACCACAAATACTCTAGTATCCGCAAGGGTTTCCATGAGATAAATTATGCATTTTATAACCCAGGTCACCACACAGCACACTCCCTGGCATCCCGTCTAATGACACGACAAACACAAGCTATCGAGCAAGAATCTGTTAACAGTTTTATTATTTTTGTGTTAAATACCATGGGACAGGGTTGGAAGGATGAAAAACTCAGTCAACAACTGCCTCACAAGGGATAAGAAAAATTCTGCCATAATTATTAGCAAAGGTAAAGGAGAAAATTTACACTGTAAGAGGCACCATTTCCCCACAGAATACCTCTTGGCATTTCCTGAATGAGTGGGATTAGCAATCTAAATAAATCATATTTCAAGAGGTAACAGCAACAGATAAAATTTAAAGGGATTATTAAAATAACATTTACAAGACTCTGAACAATTCTTGAACTCTTATTAAAACCACAAAGAAAGAACAATTCTTTATTTATGAATTTCATAAAGGACTGAATGTGCAATGACACCTGCTAGGGATGGTCTGGTGACGTTCACGCTGTCCGGGAGCTCAACACTCTGCTCTTACTGTGTTTCTAACCGTGACACTGTTGCAGGCGAGGCCTATATGACGCTGTATACACAAAGAATGGTCACTGTGGGCCACACTACCAGTGAGATGGTAGGTAAACAAATCTTTTTCTGGTCAAGAGAAAAAAAAAGAAATAGCACTCTGCATGCTTCACTCTACAAGATGAATTTCCCTAGAAAGAATCCAATGAAAATGGCTGCAATTACAACAAGAAGTGAAGGAAGAGGACTGGTGACATTATCTCTGAAGGATGCAGCTGAGGTGGATCCAGGTTTATCCGAATGTGCTACCTTTCTGAGCCTTAAGCCTTCATCCTAGAAAAAAAATATATGCACAAAAAGAGGTTTTAAAAACAAATATTCATACGACTAGTGAGCTACAAATATACAGACAAAAGGCAGGTCAGTATGCATGCGACTGGGGGCGAGAGCAGGGACGAGCTGCTACCCAGCCTAAGGAAACTTTCTAGGGTGATACCAACAGTCTAAAACCAACAGTCTAAAATGGCTGCACATTCCATAAATTTACTAAAAAAATCACTGAATTGTACACTCGCAACGGGTGTCTTCATGGAATGTAAATTATACCTCAATAATGCTGATTTTAAAAACTAGAGCCAAGGGCTTCCCTGGTGGCGCAGTGGTTGAGGGTCCGCCTGCCGATGCAGGGGATACGGGTTCGTGCCCCGGTCTGGGAGGATCCCACATGCCGTGGAGCGGCTGGGCCCGTGAGCCATGGCCGTTGAGCCTGCTCGTCCGGAGCCTGTGCTCCGCAATGGGAGAGGCCACAACAGTGAGAGGCCCACATACCGCAAAAAAAAAAAAAATAAAAAAATAAAAACTAGAGCCAAGAAATATACTTCTAAAAAGTTGAAATATCAGCTACGGTTGTATTTACACAGAAGGAAAAATCCCACTAAAATTAATACAATTAAAGAAGAATCCTACGTGTGCACTTTCCCCAAGGTGGCCGACAGCATCTTCACGCTGGGCTCCATCAGCCAAAGACCACCAGAAACAAAGTTAGGTCATTAGTCTGACCCGCCGCAAGCAGGGCCCCACACAGCAGAGCGCAGGGAACAGACAGGACTCTACAGGACTGGGGAGGGGGAGTGCAGGATGGAATTTAAACGCAGCGTTTCAATGTGCTCAAAGCAAAGCAGGAGGTCTTTGTGTAAAAGGGTCAGCACCAGAGTCTGGACTGTAGAGGAGAGACAGAATCGTTTCCTTGGAAACTACAACAGGGGTGGGATGCTGTAGGCAGAGCCCCACACCTGAGGCTCTGCACCTGGACCAGAAAGGGAGGCCGCTTCTCTGCCATCACAGTGACTCCCATCCTCCAGACCAGGTGGCTGCTCCGTGCTGACACAGCCTCACCCAGCAAAGTTTCTGACAGTCAGTCTATGACTTTAGGGGACCAGGTTTCTCAGTAACAGGACAGCAGTCACTCTAAGCAGGAGGTTGTTATGACACTTTACCAGCTGCAGAATGACCTTGGGGAAAATACTGACACCGGTTTACCTAGGCAGCTGGCTTTACCTGGCCCATCATCCCAACCAGATGAATATGGGGCAGGCTTTCACCTCCTCAGCACAAGCTCCTTTTTACTTTCTCACACTGATTCATTCCTCTAGTGTGTTCACTAATAACACCCAGTGGAAGAGTGCACCTGATGTCATGCTGTTTTATTTGCAGGACTGGATTTTCTGAGGGTTTGCCGGTTTGGGTCTTGTTCTTATTAGTCCCGTGTGGACAGAACAATGATGCTCAGTCCCAGCAAGAACTTTAAAAGCTACTCCAGGTGATTGTGCCTCCCGGGGTCTCGGGAGGGCCTGAACATGTGTGTTTAAGAGCTCACGGCAGATTCCGATGCACAGGCTGGATGAAGGCCAGGGCTGCAGAACACAAAGGGCAGTGATGAGGCCCCTCAAGGAAGTCAACCTGGCAACCAGCGATGATGGGCCTTAGTGTGAACTGTTAAAGGTCCAGAAGTTGACTCTGTAAACCAGTGGTCTTCAAGGTTCTTTTGTTTTCTCTTTTAAACGGCAGAACGCTTTTTCAAATAACATCTACAGAACGTTAGTCCATAAAGAGTCGGGACCGGGAAATCAATCCTATCACCTATCTCCCCAGCCCGGCCCGATCCAGGCACTTCTCCCTCCCAGCCAGGCGACGGTCCATGGCTCTCATCTTCCATCACATACAGGACTGAGGAAGTCATGGCACATAAAGGAAAAGTAACAAAAAACAGCAACCCTTAAAACTCCACAGGGCATGGCTGTGGGTGTAACATGAGACCACCTCTCCACTCTCCAGACAGGCACTGGGGGCAGGGGCCTCTGCGGCGGGGCTGTGGAATAGGAAGAAATAGGCAGAAAAGCCGTCTCAGCACACATCAAGCCAAGACATAGTGCCTTTGATTCAGAGTGTAGTTTCCACAGGCTATGTAATAATCAGATGTAGATTACATCCCACAGTTTAGCTTATTTACTTTAAGTACATTTTAGTATCAGTACTATCTACTTTGACATGAAAAGCTTCAAACAAAGCCTCAAAAAGCAACTTAAAGGTCTTCAGGTCTTGAAATATTAGTAAACTCCACACTATCCCACAGCCCATTGCTCACTCACTCAAATGTGAATGAACACTGTGCACGTGTGCTGTGAACGCAGAGGCAGTGAACACAGCCCCTGCCTCTGAGACACCCCAGCCCGCTGGAGGGAGACAGAGAAATGGGAGCCGGAAGAGGTAAGCGGTAGCCTGGAAACAGAGGAGGCAGCATTCCAAGACTGTTTTCTCTTTTCTTTTCAGGGGAAGAGAGTCCCAGAAAAGGTCATACTGACAAGGTGATGAGAACCGAGCACCATGAGACGTGTATGCGTGTGTGCATGCCACGTGGGCAGGGCAGGGCGCCGGGCCGCCCTCGGAGGGAAGTGCTCCTGCTATAGCAGAGGAGGCTCCTCCAGGACCCCCAGCTCAGTGCTGACCGACACGACCTGGAGAGGAACTTCCAATGGGTGCCCTACATGGAGTTTTAAATTTTCTAACAGCACATTTAAAAAGGTACAAAAGATTGGCAAAATTTTAATGATATACTTTATTCAATCCAATATAACCAAAATATTATTTCAACACGTAACAATACGAAAAAAAAAAGAGGTTTTTTTGGTTATTTTTGGCACTATGTCACTCACAGCACATCTTAATTCCAACTAACCACATTTCAAGCGCCCTGGACAACGGGGTGCCAGTATGGGGACAGCACTGCTGCAGCAGGTGACAGGACCAGGGCCCAGAATGCGAAGGCTGCACAAGAGAGAGAGGAAGCCAGCAAGGCCACGGCCAGACCCCAACACCCAGGCCAGCTGCTGGGAAGGGAGCACGGGACAGAAGCAGCCACCGCCAAAGTGTAAGAAGAGGCTGGCGGGGAGCCAAGGCCAGGACAGAAGCCAATCGGGGAAAGGGAAAAAGAACGGAAAAAGGGTCAATGTAAAAGCTGACAGACAAAATGGCCCAACAACATTCACCTCCCCGCTGCCTTCACTGCAACCAAGTTCCTTCCCCAGGAGCGAGCACTTACTCTCAGGTGTCGGTTTTCTTCCGATAGCTTCATCATCTCTCCCTGGAGCCTCTTGCACTCTTCCATGAGCTTCCTCGTCTCAGTATCATTGAGGGAAACACTGTGTGGCTTTGGCACAGGCCCGTCCTGCTTCGCAGCGTTCAGGGGAACGGCTTTGCTGGGTTCCATGTCGTTCTGCAGCACAAAGACAGCGGGCGGGGCGTTTTTCAACTGACTAACTCTCCTTACAGGTTTTTAAACAACTTAAACTCCAAACATCCATCTCCAAGAAGTTATTTACATGCAAAGTTTTGACAGTTTTCAATTTCATTATTAAAAAGTTTTTTAAATACCCAATGCCCCGTCATCTGTGAACAACTGCACAGGACGACAGCAGTACACCAGCAGTCAGCGAGGTCAAAGCACGCGAACCACCCCTCCTCTGCGCCCGCCACCCTGTGCACTTACCTCCACCAGAGCGCCGAGCACACAGCACAACACTGTACTTTTGGTGTTCTTTCCTACAACGCTTCAAAGCCTGGGTAAAGCAAGAGCCATTCCTCTTTGCATTCACCCCTAAGCCCAGCACTGTGGCCAACAGTAGTTACTCAGTAAGTATATGCTGAGTGATGCCAACCAAAATCTAAACGTCAAGTTCATTTTCAGTGCTCTGATTCTGCAGTTCACACGGGGTTCTGGAGGAAAGGGGCGGTGTTGCTGCACACACGCAATGAAACCAGGAGACTACCTAAGAAAAACACTTGAAAGAAAACCTAACTTCTATTCATGGGAAAAAATAACTGAAGGATACGAGCACCGAAGGGGAGATGATGAACACAAACATGTATCATGGGGAAAAAAAGAGGGGAGGGAGTCCACTTCACGACGTTAAACTCAAATATAAACGATCCCTTCAGATCACTAGTAACACTACCTGCTTTAATTCATGAAACTCAATATGGAACCACAGTGGTACTCAGGCACCTTTAAAATTATGAGCCCCCAAATCTTAACTCCTGCCAGCACTCACCCATTGGAACTAGTGGCAAAGGCATGGAGAGAAAGGCACAGGGCAGGGCCTAAGCATCCCTGAGCCTCAACCCAACACCCATCCACCGGAATCTCACCTCTGCCTTCACAAGCTCCCTAATAGGACTAGCACTATTCTTGTCTTTAATTAAGATTTTACTTGCTAAAACTTTAATTTTTCAAAAAGAAAGGTATAAACCGCTTTATTCAGATATAAACTTCTAACAAGAACACGTCCAAAATCAACTTTATGGCATTTTCCACAGCACTCATCAGGAATATTTAATTATAGGTCACACACCTACCACAGCATCCCAGCTCCTGAATTTATTTTCAGTATAAACAGGGACAAAACTAGTATTTCGTATGAAGGGGCTGTGATTTGATCGCCATTGTCTAAATCCATGTAAAAATTAGTAGTACTGTACTGAGGTTCCAGTCATCATTCAGATTTTCCCACTTCTCTTCAGAAGCATCCCCGCTGTGACGGGTTTTAGGGAGCCTGCTTCACCATCCGGCTCTGTGCTTCCTGTGCGAGCCTCTCGTTCTCCACTCTGTCCTCCCCGTCCCGACCAATCTCATCGTACTGTTACAAATCCTGTTTCAGATGTTTCTGCTCTCCACCAATTTTTTTCTATTCTTTTCCTTAACAGTAATTAGAATTCATTTCAAAATGACTTCTCAAGTGTGTACTTTCCAACCTAGGACTAGTCCAGCTTCTGGGAACCAGAATGGCACATGGCCTTCCTCTGTGAAGACGAACAGTCAACATGGCAACTCAGCAATCTTTAGGTTTGGGGGAAATATCACACTCGTACCAGAAAGGTGACTAAGAAATTACGAGGAGATACAAAAGGCCAAAAAGTGAAGACAAAAAAAATTAGAATGAGGAATCATCAAACTCTTCACAATTGGCTTTTTATTTTTAAACAAATTCTTGAAATTCCAGAAAATTGAGAATTACGAGAGGGAGAAAGGGAATTACCTCCCGTTCTCTCATCAACCTAAAATAACTATTATTTATATATTATCTTCCAATATTCTCTTTCATATACATATTTTATAAAATAAGCATACATGTAACTTTTTAATCTTTATTCATTTATATGTACATCTTTTAATTATCATTTTAAATGGCACGATGTCATTAAATATTCTATTCTGTGCCTTACCAAAATTACTTCAACATTTCACTCCTGTTAGACATTTGATGGGTAGCTTCCCACTCTGGGATTTTAATTAACATGTCAATCAATATCGTCTCATGGTGGCAGAATTAGATTTCTCTTTTTATTGAAAATTTTCCTTAATGTTGATATATTGCTTTTACAAGAAAAAGGAGAAGAAATGTCATAACCAATCTGTGGAGCATAAATGTTAAGACGAGAGTGCAAATGATAACAGTGAAGCCGAAACACTTGTCCAAAGTAAGCCAAGCAAGTCACAAAACAGTCACACTGAGTAAACCCACTTACCCCATGTGCTCACGACCATTTAGGCCCCTACAAACCAGGCAACATACAGAGCAGAGGCAAAAAAATCTAATTTATTGATGGATTAATTAATTTAAGTAGAACCATGTATAAGCTACCTGGGCGGTGGTTAAAGGGGGTGAGGTGGGGGGAGAGTCATGGCTGTGGAGACAAGCTGGGGGGCCTGATGGGAACACTAAGGCTGCTGAGACAGCTACAGGCTTCCCTTCAGGAGCGCCACGGTGAGGTTTGGCTCCAGAAAAACAGCGTGTTCCTTGAGAGCTGCTTCAGACTGGTCCCGAAAGAGGAGACTGGCTGTTCTGAGAACCATGGAACAAGCAAACTGGAGGGACTTGACACGCTCTGACTCTGAGGCAGCTGAGGAGTGACACTGCACACACATTATATCTAACACTGCAACTCAGAACAGACTCGACGGTCAGGCCGTCGTATCGAGATAAGAGAAAACGCAGTATCTCGTACATTTTCCACTCTTTTATATTATTTAGCCTACCTGCAGTAATCTCCTATCTATAAGTTGAATTTACTTCTGCACTTTTTTTTAAACAACCTTTAGAATTTCAGTTCCAATATTCTAAATTATTCCTTTTGGGGGTAATTAGAAAAAACGAGGACTTTGGTACTGTTCAGAAAAGGAAATATAAATACAAGGCAAATTCGGTTTTTGCATTGAAGCCTTGGCTACATTCTCGTGACTCCTGTTAAGAGTAAGGGATCGAGTGTATTACAGGGAGGTAAAAGGCAAGGCCAAGAGCCACAGCAGGAAACTGTCAGAAGGCCTGAGTAAGGCCTTAACTGGGAAGAGGTAGTATTTGAATAATAAAGTTACCGAAGATATATTTTCAGTCTGAACAACCCACTTACTCTTTTTCTCTAGGATCATGATTCCCAGAAGTAAATAACTAAAATCACAAAATTTTAAAAGTATCAGGCATTTAGATAAAGGATCAGGTTTTGTTTAAGCCTTAGTATACACATTCCCTGCAAAGCCAAATCAAAGTATCAGCAGCCTGTTCAAACTGTGGGGTTCCGAGTTCCCAAGAAGCAGGAAATGAGAAAGGGAATCACATAGCACCCAGGACACCACCAGGTCACTGTCATCTACTGATGTACTGGCATTGTACTTGAGTGAATGTTAAGTGTATACACACACACACACACACACACACACACACACACACACACGGAGACATGAATAAATTCAAATATGACCTAAGATCTTTAGGACTTTTGCCACAAATTCTCCTACCCTGGGGCACTGTAAATAACTAACAATGACAATTAAAGAAGGGTTACTATTATTTGTACTGGATAAGAAAACATAAAAGCAGTAATCTCATTTATCTTTTTTTAAAATATATAAACACAAATACTTGCCTGGAGAGTGATATTCACCAGCTCCCACCTTTACTGCTACACCTGCTGGTCTGTTCACATTTTTTTTAGAGGATGCTCCCCAAATCTCAGTGACAGGGAAAACTATACCAATTTCATAATAATGTTCCCACTTACATTTGTCCTGCTCACTACTGAGATTTTATTAAGTGTGGTATTTGTTGTTTTAGAACAGAATAGTTTGTATGCCTGGTTTTTAAGTGACTGTGGTTCTACTGTTATTTTAAACATATCTGACATTTTCAACTCTAATTCCTTCACAACACACAATAAACACCTCGTACGTGCTGGGTGACCACATCACCATAATCAGTGACACTGGCAGACTTGTCTGTTAGCTCCCTGAAACAAACCTTCTGTTTCTCCTGTTTGAACACACTGAGTCCCCTGGGCTCATTCTTCGCGCTATAACTGGCAGGTGCTGCAACTGTGCTGTTGATGCTGCTCGGCGGAGCAACAGCCAGGGCCGGCCCCGGTGGAGCAATACCCTGAGGTGCAGGGGAAACACATTCTCAGATTCACACCAAGCTCTGACTTCTCCTGCGTGGGACTGGGAATGACTAACACAGAAATCATTAGGTTCTAAAACAATCACTTTATTCTATAAAGATGTGTTATGCATAAGAAATAATAATAATAAATAATAGCTATGTGAAAGCAAAAAATACATTTCTCAACTTTTTCTATTAATTAGCTATAATCAACTTGCATTATGATCACTAACTAAATGTAGAAACCTTATTAAACTTAAGCCAGCCTCACATTGTCCTAGAATGAGTACCTTCTGTGTGGCTCTTAATTTTTGTTACTACTCAATACTTGTCAGTACCTGAAGAACAAGCACTTCATATTTTCTTACCTTTGCTAACACTCTAACTGAACAATGTTTAAGTTAAATGAATTTTTTCAAGGGTTCGAAAACTGCAATGATTTATAAACCTCTCTTGTATTCAACGACACCCCTCCCCAAACACACCCACTTACCCCCCAGGATCAAGAAACAAAGACACACAGAACATTCTAGTATTCCATTAGTATCCCCACAGTTCTCTTCCTATCTTCTCTAATTCCTTTAATACACATAAAAATAATACTATACAAGAAGGCTGGAGCAGACTTTGAAATAATACTTACTGAGGGCTTCCCTGGTGGCACAGTGGTTAAGAATCCGCCTGCCAATGCAGGGGCACGCGTGCTATCTCTGGCCCAGGAAGATCCCACATGCCACAGAGCAACTAAGCCCATGCGCCACAACTACTGAGCCTGCACTCTAGAGCCCACAAGCCACAACTACTGAGCCCGCATGCCACAACTACTGAAACCCACACGCCTAGAGCCTATGCTCTGCAACAAGAGAAGTCACGAAAATGAGAAGCCCGTGCACCACAACGAAGAGTAGCCCCCGCTCGCCGCAACTAGAGAAAGCCCACGCACATCAACAAAGACCCAATACAACCAAAAAAAAAAAAAGAAAAAAGTATGACAATGTTACTATACTAAGTACATTATAGAATGTACAAAAATAAAAAAATAAAAAGTTGGATCTCAGGAAAAGAGGCCCAACTTACTCAGTCTTCAACTCCATCTTACTTAATAATGCACTGCCCCCAATCTGTTCTTTGTCTCAACAGAAAATAATGTATATTTCATTACAAAAAGTCTTTATACACAGGACCCCTGAAATTCCCTATTCTTAACAGTCCTTCAGGCTTCATTATGACCAGTATTTTTCCCTAGAAAATATGTCATTAACAGATGTTAAATGGAGGGCATAAATGAAATGTAATAATTTTTTTTAATTTGGAAAATGTCAAGTAGAGTTGGTGGCCTAAAATAAACCAAAAAAAATTTTTTATTTCAACATAAAGATTTGAAGAGGTTATAAAACATCATAACAAGTTAATTAAAACCACACCCAATCTAAAAAAAAAACACAACCACTAACTGGACATTAGATTTCATAATATAGAGTTGATAATAACTAAAAAGAGCTAATAATTCACAGAACTCCGATTTGTAAAATATAAAGTAGTTTAACACTCCAGTGTCATCTGCGTCCAGCTATCAACAACCCAGGGAATGTGCTGAGCAGTTCTCAGTAGTAGCCCTGAACATAACTCATTTGAAGACTGTGGGCCATTACCTTACTGAAATGCATCCAGTCAAAGTCCTGCTGTCCCCGAGGACTAGGGGGACCACACACCTTAGTGCCTAAGGGCAGTATTAGTTAATGCCTGTTGTCCAGGAATAACTATTAATAGTACCTCTTTGTATTCTAAAATAAAAGGGTTCTTGGACTCCTAGGTCATTCTATGTATGATCCAAATCAGAGAGCTATTTTCCAAAAAGAAGCCCGTATTCTAATGATGGTTCCAAATAAATTAGGACTGTTTTATCACAAAAATGATCTCTTTAAACCATAAAAATAAAAACATGGACTCAACCACCATACTTCTAAAGCTGGCACCTTTCTTATCCTACAAGATGACTAAAAACTTCAATCATTTTCTGAGTTATATATTATGTATCAAGGTCCTAAAAAACCTAAAGAAATCAACAAAATAATAACACAGCCGTTTCCAACTGTCTTTAGCAACAGTAAATGCCCAAGAACTAAGAGCATACCTAAAAAGATCCAGATCCTCAAACAGGGAAGGTATACTTACATAATGTACTTAACTGCCTGTCTACTTCTTTTGGGGGCTCGGGGAGGTGGGTGAGGAGCTGCGGGCAGGGGTGAGAGTGGGATGGGGTTCCTAACATAAGAAACACTGAATCAACAGCACGTTTTGCTACCTGCTACCGACACCAACTCTGAGAAGAAAGTATCAATAACCATGATAGCTATTGTGCTATCTAACTGCTTTGGATGCTAACCAAATTTTTCTAAGTTGATTACTAAAGATCATAAATTCTGATGAGCAACTCTTTGGAGTAAATGTGTAACTGAACATGGGCTTCTACACTGCTCTGAACACTAAGGCTGAACACAAAGTACATGTGCCATTTCGAGAGAGCTGTGTATTAAAGTTGTCACCAGCAACTTAGTCAAAAACTAAACTGGGGGCTTCCCTGGTGCTGCAGTGGTTGAGAGTCCACCTGCCGATGCAGGGGACACGGGTTTGTGCCCCGGTCCAGGAAGATCCCACATGCCGCGGAGCGGCTGGGCCCATGAGCCATGGCCGCTGAGCCTGCGTGTACGGAGCCTGTGCTCCGCAACAGGAGGGGCCACAACAGTGAGAGGCCTGCGTACCGCAAAAAAAAAAAGAAAAAAAAAAACTAAACTGAAGTTTGTTTAAATTAACGAACTTTTTAAAACATATTGGCAAACAAACTAAAATAAATAAGGGGTCAAACCATGTCACTATAGGAATTTACTAACAGCAATCATGACTATATAAACTAAAAAATATATTTTGTACTCTACTTCTAAAAATACAGGCTACCAACAGTTCTCATATTTCTGTGAATCTTCCCCATTTAGAAATGTGTTTTCCTTGAATAAGGGCGTTTCATCTTTAATCAATTTGTGTAGTCAGGATTCAGCTTCATATGGCATCTTACCAATTTATCTGTAGTAAACTGACAAACTTTATCTAGGTAAAACACTACTCAATGATGCCCTAATTTCCTAACAGACAAAGTTCATACTAAACTGAAGACAGACATACAGAAAAAGGATATTAAGTAATTTCATAACTGTATCTATGGATACTAGAAAGAAACCAGTATGTTAGAGATACTATGGTCTTTAAGCAGTTTCATCAACTTCATCTGTAGACAATACTAAACCAGAAATGGCAAGATACCATTAGGGTCTTACCAACAGGGTTTTATTACATGAATAAAGTATTAGAAAAGAGGTGTTTTATGTGTGTGTGTGTGTGTGTGTGTGTGTGTGTGTGTATAAAAGGTTTCATCTTTAATCATTATAACAAATACAAAAAAACTTTATATATTTTATACTATTATAAACACTCCAGATTTGGTTACTCTGAGGTTTCACATTTTCTGTAAAGGATGCGATGCAACAGTAAGCGTATGAGTTGACAGGAAGTCACTAATCAACAATTCGGATAGCAGCAGGTCTGTACCAGGGTGCGCCCACTTCAGTGATCCCTCAGTAATGGGGATTTCTCATAGAACCTGCAGGTTTTAGCAGCTCCACAAGAATGAGTTTACACAGGAATGGCGTTTCCAAAAGTATATTTTACAGAACACCTGGCATTCCGTGGGAAGTTAATTGCATTATATGAAACAAAAAAGAAATACTAGGTTAATCAGATTTTCTTTATTCAGAGCCTTTAATGTGCAAATATGCAGTGTGCTTATTTATAGCATTTTTCCAAACTCATCTGACCACAGAGCCCTTCCAAACCAATACATTCTGGCAAACTCCACCTCATAAAAACACAGCTGTATTTCAGCGCTTCTTTTTAACATGCACATTAATCAATTAAGGCCACCTCCAGTATAGATACAAATATTTTTGCACATTTGAATTATATAAATCTGAAATACTGATATACTGAAATATTAAAAGTCTCATTTTATGTGCCAAACTTGAAATGTGAATTCCAAACACTTAAAAATGTCCGTCAAGAAGCATAACAGCAAAGCTAAGAAGCCATATGAGTTGCTATATTCCAACAGCACTGCAGCTGGTGCACAAGAGGACCTGCACATTCTTCTCAGTTAGTGTTGGATTTTACACAATTTGAATTATCCAAGAGCTTCAAGAACATAACCCAACCATTAAACACAACCACAACACCTCAAAAAATAAAAGGATGAGCATCATCTTATGTGATTTATGTGATGCTGACTAATTTCACCATTAAAATTTTACCATTAAAAGTGCCTTCAATTGACAATCAGGCCTCCACTAGAATCTTGGCCAAAAAAAGAATGGTTTGATAGGAATTCTCACAAAACTAAAAATCACTGTCTTACTCCCAGTGCCCAGCTTGTGGTCTCGAAATACCATCTCCCACTGAAAGGGCCCAGGGCTTGAAGAAATGTCTAATCCCAGGTCTGAGCCTGGAAGTATCTTGCCATATTAGACATGAAGGAAATTACCAAAGACTACTAAAGTGAAAGGACTCAGGAGCCGGCTACTAGCCAATCTGAGCACCAATACGATAACTGCAAGGGGCTGAAACAGTAGGAAGTTTAAGTCCGTGAGTCCATAACAACACAGCAAAGAGGGAAGGGAAGGAAAGGAAGGAGGACAGAAAGCTGACTGTACATCATCAGAGGGACACTGTAACCAACCCATTTTTTGAAAGCCTATAACTTAAGAGAAAGCTTTAGAACTCCACCATTGAATGAATCAGCGAGTAGCAGATGAGCTCCAGTTACTCTCTAACTAATACAATGAAGCAGTAATGACAAAGTCACCATTACACAACCTTGAATGAATCAATGGACTTAAACTGTATTTACTCACTTCCGACTGTACTGACATTTGGGGCTGGAGAATATTTGTTGTGGGGACAGTCCTGTGCATTGTAGGAAGTTGAGGAGCATCCCTGGCCTCTACCCACTAGACGTCTGTAGACCCCTCCACGTTAGCTGTGACAACCAAAAATGTCTCCAGACATTGACAACTGTCCCGTGGGGGTCAAACCACCCCTGGCTGGGACCACTCACCTACACACTGCACACCAATGGCTGCTAACTTCAAAACAAAAAAAATCAGACATTAGGTACCTCCCTGAGAGAACAGATAACCACCTACAAAGCAGTCTTGCCTCTCCCTCACCAGCAAAAATAAGCCTCAATTTAATCAAGTCTCTAGATCCAATGACAGGAAATACCAAAGACAGCAGAGAAGTTAAAAGATACCTGAAGGATGCAATCAGCAAAACCTAGTCCGTGGGAAAGTCTACAGGACAAACTCGGTTTCTTTAACAAATAATTTACAAGAGAAAAACAGAGGGCATCTATAGATTAAGAGACTTAAGAAACATATCATCCAATAGCAGTATGTGGACTTTATTTTGATTTCAAATCAAACAAACTGCAAAAAAACAAATGTTCAGGGCTTCCCTGGTGGCGCAGTGGTTCAGAGTCCGCCTGCCGATGCAGGGGACACATCTTTGTGCTCCGGTCTGGGAAGATCCCACATGCCGCGGAGCGGCTGGGCCTGTGAGCCATGGCCGCTGAGCCTGCGCGTCCGGAGCCTGTGCTCCGCAATGGGAGAGGCCACAACAGTGAGAGGCCCGCGTACCGCAAAAAAAAAAAAAAAAAAAAACAGTATGTGAGATGGGAAGTGGTGGGGTTTACATAAAATAAAATTAAGCATAAACTGGTCACTGTTAATAAAGCTGGCCACGGGTTCACTGTACTGTCCACTTTTCTAGGTATTTCAAGTTTTTCAAAATAAACTGCTTCAAAAAATCATTATCTTTAGCAAGTATTCCCTATAATTTAATTGGTCAATAATAACTATACTGCAAGTCCAAGTAGTTCAATTAGTGCAAATACATTCTGCAGCCAGTGCATCCAGGCTCAGAATCGGATATTCTCTGGTGTACTTTGAAATTACTGAACAGACTTTGGGTTACTAACAACCTGCTATGAAAAAGTTCCCGGACCAAACTACCTCTGCTCGAGCTCCAGGGTGTGTGGGAGGCTCTGGGATCTCCATGCAGTATTTGTTCAAGCCCTTTAGGAGATGCAAAGCCACTTTGTTGGATTACTACAGGCTATACCTATGTGTTAGGTACACCTACGACTCTCCTCTGTGAGGCAGTAAGATGGCTAGGCTCAACAATCACAGTCATATCATTTCCATCAACTTCTGGTTTCATGTCCAATCAGCAATATCAAATACTTGGCTTCCAGCCCTTTTCAGACTATAATCTCAAATTGTCTGCTATCCAGAGCATAAGAGAAGCCCAGCTGAAAGATAGCTCTACATTTATTAAATGACTGTAAAAATGGCATAAAACTCACAAAAGTGAGAAAATAGCCAAACATGTTTTTAAAGTAAGTCAACCCTTATTCCAATGAATTCTACTTCTTGGCATACATCTGAAGGACATGAAAATACCATGTTGAAGAGATATTTGCATTCCCATGTTCATACAGCAGCATTATCTACAACTGTCAAGACAAGGAAACAACCTAAGTGTCCATCAAGAGATGAATGGAGGGCTTCCCTGGTGGCGCAGTGGATGAGAGTCCGCCTGTCGATGCAGGGGACACGGGTTCGTGCCCCGGTCCGGGAAGATCCCACATGCTGCAGAGCGGCTAGGCCCGTGAGCCATGGCCGCTAAGCCTGCGCGTCTGGAGCCTGTGCTCTGCAACGGGAGAGGCCACAACAGTGAGAGGCCCACGTACCGCCAAAAAAAAAAAAAAGAGAGAGATGAATGGATAAAGAAGTTGTGGTATATATATACAGACTGGAATATACAGATACAATGGAATATTATTTCAGCCATTAAAAAAAGGAAATCCTGCCATTTGTGACAACATGGATGCAACTCTAAGGGCATTATGCTAAGTGAAATAAATCAGAGAAAGACAAATACTGTATGAGCTCACTTATGCATGGAATCTTAAAACAAAACAACAACAAAGCCCCAAACTTGTAGAAAGAGATCAGGTTTGTGGTTACCAGAAGCGGGGCACGGGGAGGAAGGACTGGATGAAGGGTGCCAGAAGGTACAAAACTGAAGATAAACAAGAACTGGGGATGTAATGTACCACGTGCTGACTCTAGCTAACACCACTGTTTGGTATATTGACAGTTGTTAAGTGAGCAGACCCTAAGAGTTCCCATCAGAGGGGGAAAACTTTTTTTTTTGGTAGCTATATGAGATGGTGGATGTTAACTAAACTTACTGTAGTAATCATTCCACAATATGTAACACTAGTGTTTATGCTGACACCTTAAACTTATACAGTGCTGTATGTTAACTATAGCTCAATAAAACTAGAAATAAAATAAGTCAACTGAGATGAATGTGCTCTTTTCTTGGTTCCAATAATAAGAGTTATGCAAGCTATTAGCGTCCTGGCAGCCTAGCAAAAGAGACAGTAAACTCCAAATGGGAAGCATCAACATGCCATCAAAATCTCACTTTCCAGTAACAACATATGTATTCACATTTTTTTGTTTTTGGCAAATATTTCAAAATCCCTTTAATAAGGCATTAAAAACACCGTAAGTGATTTGGTCAACACCTAATTACCATTCAGGCACTTCTTCATTTCAGCTTATCCTAAGAGTAACACAACAAGTGACCCCACATATTTAATCTGCAAGTTTACTTTTCAATAGGGCAAATGGCCTCCAGAGCAAAGAAAAAAGTCATGTAAAATTATAACCTGATTGTGCCAAACAATTCTATTTATCCATATTATTTTATATGTTAAATCACACACACAAAAACCTACTTACCCTTCAAGCTCCTCCTACAAACCACAGAAAAAAATTCAAATTTGTGTTTCAGAAAAGGAATAAAGTGACCACAACCCATTCTACTTTTTAGGGCTTCCCTGGTGGCGCAGTGGTTGAGAGTCCGCCTGCCGATGCAGGGGACACGGGTTCATGCCCCGGTCCGGGAAGATCCCACATGCCGCAGAGCGGCTGGGCCCGTGAGCCATGGCCGCTGAGCCTGCGCATCCGGGGCCTGTGCTCCGCAACGGGAGAGGCCACAAGAGTGAGAGTTCTGCGTACCACAAAAAAAAAAAAAAAAAAAAAAGACTACTTTTTAAACTCCATGCACATACACTTCAGTCCCTCAAATTGTATTTGCCTCACACTAATCAAAAAGCAACATAAAAATTATTTACTAAGGAATAAAATCAGATGTATTTTGATCAATAGTGAACAAAATACCTGGAATAGCCAAATTTGGAATAAACTGTCCATGTAAATTAAATCTTATCCCCAGACTGCAGGTATATAGTTGCCAAAAAGTGGTTTACGTCTGTAATTTAATTATATTTATGTATACACATGTCTCATTCTAACAAAGAACTTGAAATGGTTTAAGTAGCAAAATTTTGGTAGAATTAGGTGGTTCTTCTCCATCATCCAGCTTGTACCTAAAAGTATTTTTCTTCTTGAACAAAATGTTATGAAATGAAAAGAGCATATACACATTAAGTTTTTAAAAACCGTAAACACTAAGTCTGATAAAGTGGAACAGCCATATCACACAATCACAAAGGCCAAAACCAGAAGCAGAATTCAATCTCAAAGTAACTGAGAGCTTAATAGCTTCCAATTTTCTTATATTTTCCTACTTACCAATTTATCATTTTCATTGGGCATTTCAAATACACATCTCAATTTAGAATCCATCAATTCATCGGGTTTTGCCTCTTTCCACTAAAAGCAAACAAAACCAAACAATGAGACAGAGGAGATACGATGGGGACAAATAGGTTTCACCTCAAGGGACAACTGAAGGGTTAGTGTAGCTGCCGTGCGTGTGTGCGTGTGTGTGTGTGTATGTGTGTGTGCACAGGTACTGGCAATGCCACAGAACTTCCTATAGAACCCTACAAAGAGCTACTATCACAATCCATTAAAATCACACTAACATCCCTAGAGATTACAGGACTTCACTCTTAATAGTAGCACTTCAAAACTGTCTCTAAGGCATACTATTTCAAAATTCCTTCGTTCTTGAAATGAGTCAGGGTTATCTGTAGTGAACAGATTTACAGATTTTGTTAATTTTAAAAACCAGGTTTCTCAATGGAGAACTAAACAAAACCCACAGTTTAAACAACATCCCCCCGGACAACTTCTGTTCAACTTCTCTACTCACCACGGCTTCCATATCTGAAATGTTTGGTGGAGCAAAGATGGTCTGTACCATAAACTTGTGTTTACTCTTCTCATTGGGGTCATAGTCAAAAGGCTGCAGCATTACTAAAGAAGAAGAAAGGACACATGACAGTGACTTCTGCATTTGTTTGCTTCCTTGCATTCCTAGTACTCACTCACTAATTTGCAAATTTAAAGAAAACCAGGAAAGGTGCAAGAAACCACACACTGGATTATTTACAGTAAGGATCCAGAATCAACTTTATGGTTTCCAATTATTTTTAAATTGTCTACCTTTCTCATTTGCTAAGTCTTTAACAACCCATAAAATAAACAAATGTCTATTTAAAAAAAATAAAAATCTATGATTGCCCTCTCTAAACTTAAGTTTGGAAATTTTTCAAAACTTTGCCAACATTAACTATTAAAATGCCTAAAAACTCAAAATCTAGTAAATTGTCTATTAAAACCACTTATAATATAAACTTAGGTTTCACATTAGTATTTAGTGATAACAGCTCTTAAAATTAGACAAGTGCAATATTTAGAGAAGAAATTCTAAGTAACTTAAAAACTCACTACCCAATATTAGTGTTCTGATATAACTAATTTTTCTAAAATCGATTTTAAATACACACCTATTCAAGAAGAGTTTATTAATTTGTTTAAATGAGTCTAGGACAATAAAGTGTACAAGGAAACCATACAGCCTCATGATTTCTAAACTTTTTCCAGCTTCCTAATAATTATATCCAAATTTTTTTCTGAAGTATTTATGATTTTCAGTGGCCTACCAGAGGGTTTTTAGACGTTCCATGTGGTTTTAAATTATGTAATATAAATCTAATAAGAGAATATAAAGAATGAATCAGCAATTGTACACAATATGTATACAATATTGTGGAGATTACTTCCCAGTTAATATTTAGATTATTTCTAAGATAGACAGATGTCAACATTTTCAAAAAGACAGATGAAATGAAGCAAATGTAAGAAATATCAATTATATAAGAACATCTTCTTTATAAGGTATGTCTGAGAAGTCCATTAACTCCCATCATGGTTAAAAAAGAATTTTTAAGGGCCAAATATACAGCTGTAGAAAATGCACAGGATAAACGCCCAGAACCCAGATAAAGCACAGTATATCTCCAGGAACACCCTTCACTGAACAACCACCTTACGCTATTCACTAGAAACTGGATAAAAAGAAAACTTCAAACATGGTTGTGACTTTATGACAGTCATACTTCTAAGGCTACAGACCATGTAACAAGAGGAAGACAATCTTAGCACAGATTAAAGGAGTAAATCCATAAAGGTGCAGGCTAAAAGGAGAGAGGGAGAAAAGGAGAGAGTATGTAGACAGAGTCAATCAGGGAAGGCTGCTGGAGGAAGCGTGGCTGGAGTGCCTGCTCACCCGGAAAGGCACTGCACTGAACACTGGAGCGCCAGTTCTCAGTGGAGGAGAGGGATCAAGGGCGTGCATGGAAACAGTAACTGGTGTGTAAGGAGTTTTTAGTAAGTCAGGTGCTCAGTACAAGGGGCTTATGTGAGAGAAAGGGCTTTGAGAAGTATACAGGTTCTTAAGAAACATTAATACAGTAAAACTTCAGAAAGCTAGAATCCTAAAGAAAAAGTCCTTCTGAATAGTTCCATGGATTCCTAGGGATATAGCTGTTTGCACCAAAATCTATTTTTAACCATGTGGATAGAAATAATTTTATCTTCTTCCAATTGAGCTAAAAAGGCTTGTGGACTTAGAGAGCAACTTCCAGAACACTCGTACTCACTGCCCACTCCTCTTATTGCCCACCCATCTTCCCCATGAACTGACAGTTCGGTCAGACAAACATGAAAGCAGGCCTGCCAGGCCACCACACAAGACTCACTAAAAGCATCTTCTCTAGGCCCTCCTAACTCTGAGTTTGGGAATACAGTTACTGAGGGAGGATTACGTGCCCCAAGAACTCTGAGGTCTGTCCTTGACTGCCTCTGCAGTCAGGTTCCACTGATGAACATCTCAGTGAGCCTGCCCCGGGTGCTCACTCTTTGTATAATTTTCTGTTTTTAATCTGCTGTGGGCTTGAAAACTAGAAAACTGATACAGAATTATTTTAATATTTTAGGAATACCTATCAGGATTATGCAGGCATGTTTTGTTTTGTTTAACATACACATGTCTAGGTTGTGTCCCCAGAGATTCTAATCTGGAAAGGTCCGCGTGTGTTCCTGCTCTCTGTGCAATTACGGCAGACCTTCACAGAGGTGAGAACTACTGCTAGAAAATAAGAGTAAATGGTCTCTGTGTGAGGCCTGAGAAGTTCTCCCATAAGTAAACTACATCCTCCGACTTGCTTCCTATCACTCTGCTATGTTAGATGCTATCATGAAAGGATATCGTCAGGGAAGTCTGAGGGCATTAACTCTGGCACCAGCACAGACTCCACGGCAGGAGTAAGCAATCCACACATGGAAGGAACCAAGCACACTCCCTGGACTACAAGTAAACACAAAAGGGGGTGACAAAACTAAAGTTTTCAAGTGCGGGACACTGTTGGCATTAACAATAAAAGGCAGAAAGACGCATCTAAGTTTACAACTATTGGCAAAAAAGAGGCACTGTACATTTTTAAGCAAAAGATTTAGGATAACACCTCCATAGCTGCATGCAATATGTAACAACAGCTAGAGATCTGAATGAATGAGAATGAGCAATCACAAAAATGATACAAAATTTCAAAGACAAAATAATAAGGGCAGAGAATGTGGTAGTAAGTAAGTAGAAATAAAGAACAGATATAACATTTTTTGAACGACAGTAACTGCTTACAAACTGACCACATACACCCTCACCCCAAGGTAAGACATTTCCTGCAGCAGTCTGCATATAGTAAAAGAACAGCATAAATTCAGGACATGGTTTGCTACCTGAAACAGTCACAGTCAACCCTGGGTCAATAATTCCACTGTTGGGCCTCACACAGTACCGACGAGGTGCTGTAGTCTTCACTTTGAAACACACCTTTCTATCCGATGGATTTCGCAACTTAAGATTTGTAGTGACTACATCTGTGAAGGGGCCTGTAAGGTTTAAAAACCAAAAACAGGGGAAAAAAAAATTTAATTGGATTCTCACACACACACACACACACACACACACAAGCAGAATTCAAAACTGGATGCACATAACCTCAATTTTATATAGAGTATGTACTGAAAGTCTGTGTACCTAAATATACCTCCAGGTATACACTCACAAAGGAGTTTTATTTTCTTCTCCATTCCTTACCAGACTTTATAAAATCACTACATGAACATGTATTGTTTCTATCAAATAAAATGTATTTTTAAAGTTTCAATTTATGAAATAAGCCCAAAATTGTATTCCTAGAGTATGCTCTTACCACATGACTGAAAAGATCAGGATTTCCAGTGGTCTGCAAACCAATGCCAATCTTCAGATTCACCTGACAGAGCCGACCACAAAACCTCTCCATCAGAAGCCGATGAACCCAATGACAGGATGCTCTTGCGTCACCTCAACTAAGTTTGATCCCTTCACTCGTTCATTCTTTCACTCACATATTTGTCAAGTGTTTATTAAGAGCACTGTGTCAAATGCTCTACATACGAAGTTTTTTTTAAGCTTTGATTCTACACCCAAACATAAAACTGCAAAACAAAGAACCCAAAAAGTGATGCAGTCCTGCCTGAATTAAATAAGTCCTAAACCATTTTTTGTTTAAAAAAGGGGGGAGTGAGGTGTGGAGAAACAGTACCGCCACTGCTGTTCTTGGCGGAAGAAAAGCCTAAAGATATTTTATACAGGTTTAGACAATAAACTGAATACCTGTTAATTTGGAGACTGAAGATAAATATGTCTCAATGGAAGCAACAACCACACACTTCTAACTAACCCAAAAGCAATTTTCAGTGGTTTCTAAAACAATTAATTTTAAGTTATACTTTAAAAAAAAAAAAAGCTAGAAGGCTGAAATCAAAGACAACTTATAAAGGCTATCTTTCCTTTATTAAATAAACCAGAAAAAGCATGTCTTTTAAAACTTTAAAATATTTCTAGTTTAGGGTCCAAACTGAGAAGATTCCCCAGCTATGCCAGATAAAGTTTCCCATTTTGCTGAATATTGGAAAATTATCTTAGACAAAGGCTTGAAGGGGAACAACAAACAGACAATGAAGAGGCACTGGGAAGAGAGCAGGGGCTGAAAGTAGACCTGCCTGATGCAAGGAGAGGAAAAGAAGAGACTTGAAATGAAAGGCACTTATTTCAGGTCCTAGGAAATGAATTAATTTTATCCTATGCTTAAAGTTTGTGAGTTGTAAGATATTTTCTAAAAAAATAAAGATTTGGAACTGGGATGAAAGGGAAGAGACAGAAATAAACAGAACATTAGAAGAAAGCATATAAAGGCAGAGAACCAGTTATGGAAAAAATTCTAATGTGAAATAGGCATTTAAATCAACAAGTACACATTTTTAAAAATATATATATACAATATATATAAGAACTACAATCTTTTGGACAGCTTGCTTGAATTATATGGTCAAGTTAATCACTGCATTTATATATTATTTTACATCCTTTGCTGCTTCTTCAATCCCAGTTGCTTGCATTGTTTGGCTAGCAGCTAACTACCCCGCCATACACTGGCCCGGGGGAGTGAAGGGGAAAGCTCCAATCTGTCCATTTTGCTGCGTGAATCCACAAAATCATTGGCTAAAGACACATTTTAAACTATTAAAACTACGAGTCTTAAAGACACAGATTCCATTTCTTAACATTCTGAAAATCCATAAATTACTACAGGTAACTGAGAATGTGTACATTTTTATGTGACTATTTCAACTAGGATTTTAACATTAGCATTAAGTATAAATTTATTTTTAAAAGTTTCTTAGTAAAATAACAAAGGAAACATTTTACAAAATTTTAATTTTGAAAACTCCTATATTTTTATAACATAATTACGTAAGTTTTAATTCGTAATTTTAAATTCAATTTTTTAAATTTCCCCAATTTGAGAGGAAAGTACCAACTATCCAAAACAAGGTAAAATAACTGATTTTTTTAAACTGACTTAGAAAATAACGATGTGTCAATTTTCATCAACATATGAATTCTGAAACAGTACTTACATTTTATATTGCCCAAAAGGGATTATAAATCTTAAATAATAGATTGTGTTCTTTCTAGACATAAAAATGCAAACTACTTAAAGATGAAGATAATATGTCAAAAGAAAAAAATTCCACCAATTCAAAAGCCAAATTCTTTACTGAATATGTTAACCTTATCAGTAAAATGTAAAATTACCTACAATAAAGCCACCTAACAAATGAATTTGAGATTTTCTACTCCACTGTGTCCCTCTAACCAAGCCTCTCACAGTAAGGGTTGCTCCCAGCAGCCAGTTCAGAGTCTGAGCCCATTTTCCTGGTTAAGATGCAAAATCAGCAAGTACTAATGACCACTAGCATAATAACCAGATTTAATAGCTTGAAGAGGTCTTAGGCAGAAACATCTGTTCCACCTTTGTGGGTCACAGAAACTCTTTAAGAATCTCATGAAAACTATATACTAACCCAGAAAAACATACACAGGCAAATATTCACAACAATTTTACCTTGGGTTTTTCTGGAGGGTGAGGGTGAGATGGGGCGATCTGGGGTGGGGGTGTATCGTGGATTCCTGGAGCCTGCAGGTTAAACAGACCTGATAGAATCTACCCTTACAGGCCCTCAAAAATAGAGGAAAAGTTATGTAATTTATCTGCTACAACACAAGCCTAAATCCAGGGTAATACTGCCACTGTCAGGTACTTCTGTCTGACATCAGGACTGGGTGGTGCTACTGTTGGGGGGGGGGGGGGTTCACAACACCCGGGTAGATCCACGCAATCAAGTACAGTATTAGGCCCCCATCCCACCAGATCTTCACATACCCCTCCAGAAATCCACACTGGTTAAAAAAAAAAAAACCTCTTTCCCAGAAATACATCTATTGTGTAAAACAAGAAACCTTTTTCTCTTTCCCTA